GTCTGATTTGAAGGATTACAGATGATTTCAGCGGATTTTACCGGATTTCGGCGGATTTTACGTGATTCCGGCGGTTTTTACATGACCTTCTAGGGATTTCAGTTTTGTATTAATTTTTTTTAGAGTGACGAAGAGGTTTGTTCTCTATGTCACTCTCTTGCAATGAATTTAAGTTGTAATGAACTTTTAACTGTGTTTTTTCTTCTTTTGTTTTCATATGAATTCTACTTAATGATTGCAGTTCTATGTATGCACAACTGAAATGTGCCGCAGCCAGTTCCAGGTATTTAACTGTTCAGAAATATTTATGTTACTTATTTTTCCAAAATTGTTACTAAGTGGACCAAATCTTGTTGGATTATGCCCTCAGGCTTTAGAGGATCACTATAACCATCTCGAAACAGAGTTGAGAGAGGAGATAAAGAAACTAACGAAATCCCAAACTCAATTTGATGAAATGCAGAGCACCATAGATAGCTGTGACTGTATGTTCAATTATATGACTTCATTATTAAGAGCGGCTTTGGTCAATGGTTAATTTTTAGGTTATTTTTTTTTTATCTAGCTATGATCATGGCACTCAAGAATGAGGAAGAGAGGAAGAGGTGTCCTCTAGAATCCATGAAATTAGCTGTCAAGGAAGCTGATGCTGAGGGAATAGAGGTTCCAGACGGTCTGGTAATGTTTGCCAACACACTGAATTCTTTATTAGCACACTGTTAAGATTAATTTTATAATGGTTTCCCTCCACCCCAGGTTTACATTGGCGGCGGAAAGTTTTTGGAGAAAAAACAGGTTGCAAAGGCTGAACATGAAACATCATTTAAAACAAGAATGAGTGCCCTTCTTCAACTGATTTTAGGATCCGACTTAGGAGCTTATGGCCTCTCAACATCAAATGATAAAATAGCCATACAGCAGTACCAATTAGATTCACTTTATGGTAACTATAACTAAGCCAAAAAATATTAAATGAACATGTTAAAATATTCAAAATTCTAACTGATGTTTTTTTCTGCAGCATTATTAAATACGATGAAGTGGACAAAGAAGTGCCCCCTTCCTCAGAATTTCAATAAAGATTACGTTCGTAGGCAAGCAGGAAAGATTTGCTCTGAAGCTTCTGCTGGAAAAAATTAACCTTGTGCTGCACCAGACAATGGGCTAGCACTGCACGAGCTTATAAGGAAAAGGAAAAGTCAAGAAGACGTGGGTAGCAGGAGAGAGGATGAAGGTAACTTGGTAACTTATTCTTTTAGCAAATCTTTTTAACATTACCTTAACACAAGTAACAATTCATATTTTATTTTCAGATTAAATTTCTTTCCCTTCCCTAGCCTGCAATTCCTGTACTACACTGCAGACTGCTATCAGTATATTAGGCAGGGCAGTTAAGACGGTCCAAAGTAAACATGGCGAAACGAATGTGCCATATATGTGATTTAGGATTTATTTTGACTTTAAATTGTTCTTGTTTATGACAGGTGTCTTGTCGACGATGTTTGTTGTCTGCGTCGATTTGGCAATCACACATGAGCCTGAACCTAATTTACTGTATCAAAACACAGTCTATGTACTGGATGGATTTAGGTTATAGCCGCCCATAGGCTATGCCAGCCTAGGCTGCAAGCAAATGATGGAACCAATGCTATTGGGTTCTGAGAAGAACAGCAAAGTTACCAAGTGGCCTTATTACACTATTGTGAGTAATACAAACCATCTCATCAGCTCCTGAGTGAGGTGCTGTTGTTTCGGTTATTTGCTAAAGTAATAGGTAATTGTTTAGTTGTCATTTGAGTGATAGGCCTCCCCCGTATTTTCAGCCATATGGTGTGGGCAGTACTATTGAACAATTATGTTGCAACATTATCACTCTGCTTTTCTTTTTGACAAATAAGTGCTATCTTAATTTATTTAAATTTTCAATACAGTATTGAAAGTTAGCCTTGACTCGTAAAAGTGTTTCATATTTTTTCATTGGAAAACAACGTCATTGATTGGCATTCTACAAGGGATGTCAATATTTTGCGTTCTTTGAAAGCCAAATGTTTTAGGTTCTTTACACGCAAACTTAATTACAATGTTAGCGTCTAGGAATCATTGGTGCGAGACCAAACTAATCTCACACTCATTTGTGCGAGGCACAGAGGATCTCGCAGCATTTGGTGTGAGGTATGTTTGCCTCGCATCATTTGGTGTGAGGTATTTTGGCTCGCACCAAATG